TAATTTATTTTTCTATCGAAATCATATCAAAATCCTTAGAATTTCGTTGGAATTGTCTAGAATATTATGATTCATAATGAATTTAGTATTTAAATTTGATTTATTTGTTAAAAATTGCAAACTGAGTTACTTCGGTTAGAATAAGTCTCATTTCAGAAGAGAAAAATTTCTCTTTTAATAATTTACTGAACATTTTTGATGATGATGATGATGAATTAAATAGATTTAAGGTGCCGGAAATGCAGAATTTCAGTTGATTTTTTTTTCTCATTTATTTATATATGGTTTGATAGAGCGTGAAAAACTGATCACGAATATATACTTTTTATTTCGATTCGATCACTGTTTGGCTGAAAAAACTAGAAGAACTAAGAAAATGCCATTTTTACGTTGAATTTTTGTTTTCTATAGAAATTGTCAGATTTCAATTTCAGTTATTTTCTGAAGTTTTTGAAAATATTATTTTCGGAATCAGCATGAGAAATTGAGTAGAAAAATGTTATATAATTAGATGTAGAGCTAATAAAGCTAAGAAAATTCTATCCAATATAAATAAGCCCATCAGGTTAAAGGTATGTATCAGTGGGTATTTTTGTAACTCTATCTAGGTTTTTGTATCAAGAGATAGAAGCAAATGTCTTATCTCCTTAGAATCGTCAGATCTTGGGCTACAAAATTTATTACTTTTTTTTTGAAAATTTTCTTCTACTGTTGAGAAAATCGAATTTCTTTCCTGTTCGGCGCTAACATGAGGCGAAATGTAGAAAAATATGTTGATATTTAGTAGTTTTTATTATCATGGTTCAGTCAAAAGGCAAAACAGACAGTATATTCGAAACCAGCTTCAAAAACGACATCGAACCATATACATTTTAGTAAAACTTGTTTCCCAAGAAAAATCGACCTGTGGTCCCCCTCAAGTACATGTTTCTAAAATTTTGTCCCTGGCCCCTCCACGGGTCACTTTTTCTCAAAAAAATCGAATTCGATAAAACATATATGAATCGGTGCGGTTTTTGACGCTGGTTTCGAATATACTGTCTGTTTTGCCTTTTGGCTGAACCATGATAATAAAAACTACTAAATACCAGCATATGTTTCTTCATTTCGCCTCATGCTAGCGCCGAACAGGAAAGAAATTTGATTTTCTCAACAAAAGAAGAAAATTTTCAAAAAAAAAAGTAATAACTTTTGTAGCCCATAATTTGACAATTCTAACGAGATAAGGCATTCGCTTCTATCTCTTGTTAAAAAAAAAACTAGATAGATTTACAAGAATGCTCACTTATACATACTTTTAGCTTGATGGGCCTATTTATATTGAATAGGAATTTTTTTTGTTTTATTAGGTCGAAATCTAATCTATTAACATTTTTCTACTGAGTTTTTCATGCTGATTCAGAATATACTACTTTCAAAAAATTCACAAAATAACTGAAATTGAAATCTGACAATTTCTATAGAAAAAAAAAATTCAACGTAAAAATGGCATTTTCTTAGTTCTTCTAGTTTTTTCAGCCAAACAGTGATCGAATAGAAATAAAAAGTATACGTTCGTGATCAGTTTTTCACACTCTATCAAACCATATATAAACGAGCGAGAAACAAAATGCAACAGTTGAATTTTTTGATAATTTCTTTTGATTTAAATCGATTTTTTTTTCTATTGTTTTTCAGGCTTTGTCCAATTACGATACATAGATTTTAATAGAAATTTAATGTTATATTCGTGGTGTTTTCGTCACTTGCTATTATCTATTATACTCGGAAACTTTAATGTACAGTATACAATTGCAATTTGGCCGCTTTCAAACGTTTCAAATATTCAAGTATTAGGTCTCTTTCAAGATATAGCAAACACATCTAAACCTACGGAATTGTCAGTTCATTCTCGTGCTATGTTTAAAGCTGCAGTAGTTCTTTCACAACAATATAATATTAAAATTGACGAACAATACATTGGATGGAAAGCAACACAAACTGGTGGTAATAGAATAGGTGCTCTTAGTAGTACATGTTTAATAATGTCCACTTCGAACATTGTTGGTATTATTGGACCGACATATTCAAGAGAAGCTCATATTATTGCTGAATTTGCCAAATCAGTTCGTATTCCTGTAATATCATATGGTGCAACTAATCCTGATTTATCTGATCGAAATTCATATCCAGCATTTTATCGCACAGTTCCTTCAGATACTGCTGCTGCATCGTCAATTGTACAATTATTTGTTCGATTTAATTGGACATCTTCTATAATTATCTATCAAAATGATGAATTTGGATCCGGTGGAGTTGAAGCAATAAGTCATGCATTTAGTAAAAATAAATTGATTGTCAGTCAAACATTAATATTTGATATAGCGACACAAAGTATTCGAGGTGACTTAACAGATCTTTTATCTAGTAGTTCAACACGAATTGTTCTACTATGGGTAGAAACTAATTATACACCATTAGTTATAAAATATGCACTTGATTGTAATGTTCTTGGACCACAATTCACATGGATATTACGATCAAGTATTTCATTAGATTTTTTTAATCAAACTTCATATCCAAATTTAATTGGTATACTTTCTATAGAACCCGTTGCAGGAAATATTGTCAATGCACCAATAAATACATCATTATTAAATTCAGCTTATAGTATTTGGCAACAATATGAACCTGAAACATTTCCCGGACCGATGAAAGTCAATTATTATGCTCTATTTACATTCGATGCAACTTGGGCATTAATTCAATCATTGAAACAATTTTGTTCAACATATACAAATCATTCCTCATTCTGCATATCAATTGTCAACAGTTCATTCTGTTATGATCGTCTTTTTCTTAATGGTAATTCGTTTTATAATACGATTAGTTTAACAGAATTTCTTGGTGTATCTGGTTCGATAAAGTTTAGTACAAACGTAACAGATAGAATAGATGGTGTTTATTATGTTATACAAAATATTCAATCATCTGTAAATGGTCTATATTTTGTGCCAGTATTACAATGGTCTCAATCTAATAATTGGAAAACATATTCAAAAACAGATATCATTGTATGGCCTGGTAATTCATTAAAATCTCCTACTGGTTTTGCTGGACTTGCAGGTGTTAACTTGAAAATTTGTGTTATTGAAGCATTGCCATTCACAATACAAACTGATTTCTTGAAAAATAATACGATCAAATTAACTGGTTATGTACCTGATCTTATTGATATTTTAAAAAATAAAATGGGATTTATTCCTAATATTATATTATCACAATCGAATCAGACTTATAATGGATTAGTTCAAGCAGTAGCAAATGGTGTTTGTGATTTGGTAGTAGGTGATGTTACTATAACTGCTGCACGAAGAGAAATAGTCGATTTTTCTAATTCAATATTTGATAATTCATTACGCATTATTATTCGAAAATCAAATTCAATTGATGTTGATTTTTTTTCATATTTAAGACCATTTTCAGTTACTCTATGGTTAACACTTCTTGCTGGTTTTATATATGCTGCTATCTTACTATGTCTATTAGAACGACAAGATAATGAAGCATTGAAAAATAAATCGATTATTTCATCTATTTCAATGAGTATGTGGTATTCTGTTGGTACTATTATGGGATATGGTGCAGATTTTCATGTTCAAACAGCTGCTGGAAGAGTATTAAGTGTAGGTTTATATATGTTAAGTTTGGTATTAGTAGCTACATATACGGCAAATTTAGCATCTGATTTAACAATATCAAAATCAAAAGATTTTATTTCTGGAATTGATGATATTAAAAATGGAAAATTATCTTTTAATCGTATTGGTATTCTAGCTGGATCATCATTGGAAGATTTTTATTTACATGAAATTTCTTGTGGTAGTAGAAATTTTTATCCATTAAAATCTCAAAATGAAATATATATCAAATTATTAGATAAAACTATTGATGTTGCAATATCGGATGCTGCTCTTTTAGAATATGTAACGAAAAAAATCTATTGTAATTTAACTCTTGTTGGAATAGATTTTAGTCGTAGTTCATATGGTATTGTTATTCCTAAACAATGGTTATATGCAAAAGATTTAGATGTTGTTATATTATCATTAAGAGAATCAGGTGTTCTTGATGATTTAAAAAGAAAATGGTTTGAAGGAAATCTTTGTCTAGATTCATTTTCATCTGATAAATCTACAAGTATAAATGTTGGATCAATGAGTGGTTTACTTGTTACATTTGGAATAATTACTATTCTATCATTGATATTATTTGCATGGACAAAAAAATTTTTTATAAAAAAATTTCAATGGATATCATCATGTCAAAAGAATCATTTATTTGATTCACAAGTCTTTCATATAAGACATTCAATCAAAACTTTTTCTAAACATAAGAATAATTCTCAAACAACTTTGTATGATGTAACAAGATTTTAAATATAAATTTGGTTTTAATAATCAATCAAAGATAAAAAAAAAGAAATTGATCATTTTATTTTTTTATAATCTTTAACGAATATCGTAATTAGATATAATAAAAACAAAATTCGATTATCAAAATGAGTTTATTTTAGAGTCATTAGCTTTATCGATGGAATTTTTCGATTCAAATCTTTCTATATAGAATATAAATGAAATATTATTAAAACTTAATAGTTATAAAAATCAAATTTATTTTATGATATATAAAATGTATGATTTATGATATTGTATTCTTTTAGAGTTTTTTTTAGTATAATCTTCGATTAAACAAATATTTCATTAGATATTATTAACAACAATGTAACTAACTATATATTGTTATTAAGATACTTTTTTTTTTCTTTTTGCGTTTATTTCATAAGAAAATTCCTATAAAAAAAACTGATAGATAGATAACCATCATTTTTCTTTTTCTTTCGAAAGTAAACATACCATACACGTATTCTTATTTATCTTCATGAAAAAAATCTATTTTATCAAATAGTATATTGGAAATAAACTAATACTAATATCACTTATTATGTATATGTTAAATGACTGAACGATTTGCTTTGAAAACACATGTTGAATTCTAATTTTCAATGAGCCTTATTCCCATTTCGATTTTTGGCCACGAACATGTATAAAAGTGGCTACACAATAAATTACGTGTTATTGAGTACGGTCTCTTTTCTTTTATCTCTCTTTATGAATCATCTTCATTGTTTAAACAACGAAGATGATTCATAAAGAGAGATAAAAGAAAAGAGACCGTCCTCAATAATACGTAATTTATTGTGTAGTCACTTTTATACATGTTTGGGGCAAAAAATCGAAATGGGAATAACGCTCATTGACTCATTTCCGAATTTGTTGTTCTATAAAAAAACATATTGACGTAAATACTTGTTTGTAAGATGTTGACATATCCATAGATGGTTCGATGAACAAGTTTTTAATACTATTTTCTTTTATATATTCATTTTAAGAAAGCAGACTTATTTATTTTTTAAATACAATTATTGAATATACGAATTAACTAATATATCGAACAAGAAAATATTTAAAGCTTTATATAACAACAAAATAATTCAAAGTATTGAAATTTTAAAAATAAAAATAATCTATTCATTGAATTTATAAATATTCGATCTTCGATGAAAATAATTGTATATCGACTAGCTTCATGATTCGATCAAGTTCAAATATTTATTTAAAAACAAAGACACAATGCAACAATAACACAACAGAAGCAAGATAATGAAAACAATTTCGTTCAGTTCTGATACATTATGAAACAAATCGATTGATTGTAATTATTTATTGTATCGTACACAAAGAATCCGAAATATATTTCTCTTCTATATGATGATTAAATTTTTCTTTATAATAAGTATTCTTGAATAAGTATATATAGCTCTTACAAGTAAGTGACAATTTGTGCTTCTTACATTTTTTATTTTGTAACGTTGTTTTTATTATAAGTTATCATGATGAGTCTATTAATATAGATAATTATTTTTCTTTTTATCTCTATCGTTAGCAGTGACTACGGAACCAGTGAACATTGTGAAATGCATTAAGTTTGATAAAAATGCAACGTTAAACAGTAGACTAAACGTCTTATCGATGTATTTATCAAATAAAAATTTCGTGTCAAGGATCAGTGTACTAATCAATCTGGGAAATATTGCTATTAATAATACATGATAGAGAGTCAGCTGATGAAATTGATTTTTGTAATCGACTGATATGTGTGTCAGAGTGACTATGTGTTATTTAAGATATGGTCAAGGTTAACGATTGCTTTTCTTCCTCTCAAGTATATTATTCTGAACTTTCAATAGAACTCATTTTCTTCATCACACAGGATAAATGATTTTTTTCAAACAAAAAACGATTGAATAAAAATTATGAGAATAAATATCTGTGGCACTGACGTTAAAATTCTTACTGCATTGAATCGTTGTACTTGACATATATAGAAGAGTGAAACTATTCATTAGAGACGATTGTGTCATTGAAGAACTGTACTTTGTTGCGTATGAATGTAATGACGAGTTGTCAACATATTTATGATAAAATCTTTGTCTCTCATACATTCATTTTATTTTTATTATTATTCTGGTAAACAAAATATATTAATATAATATCTTTTCAATATTTAAATCAATTGTTTTCTAAATAATCTCCGAAGGCAATGAATTGTATCTGAAAAATTAATATCGTGCGAAATTAATCTATTATTAGACTATTTAAAATAATTCTTTCAGTAAATTAAGTTATAGATCGATATTATAGAGAATAGCTTTGATAATATTGCACGAATCAATGTAGTTATTCTAAATATTATCGAAAAGGCTTTTGATAGTATTTAAATAAGATTTATTCAAATTGATCCTGTTCGTTTATGAACTTGCCTTGACAATAGATTGTCATGAAATTTTTTAATGATGATTCATGAGTAATCAAAAACTATGATGTGTCATTAACTTGAATTGAACGAAATCTAAATATTGTTTTTATATATTATTCGTTGCGATACGACGCATTGATAATTCCAACTACAACAAATAGAAAAAATGACTATCTGCTTTTGTTTGACTACCATTATTGTTATATCTGAAACAATGAATATTTTCATATGATTATTAATTAAGAATTATCTGAAACATGTAAATATTATATTTTTACTTACATAGAAATATGGTCGCTCTCATCATATCATCTTTTTCTTTCTTTTTACTTTCT